CAACGATGATCAAGTTGATGGATCAAGATCTTGTTCGTGTGGACCGTTAGATAGCATTAAATGGTTCGATTTGTAGAAAGATATGAATCTAGATTTTCATATTCAGATCTGGTAAAATTCAATTCACCATCTTTATGTTCGGTAAGTCGAAATTGCTTTTCAATTTCACGCATACTTATGAATATTTTATAAATGCAATCTGAGATTCTATAGCAAATCTAAAAGGAAAATTTGAATTGGTGCATGCACGAAAACCCAATATAATGTGTTCAAAATGCAATTCTGCATGTATCACGTATTGGAATTTATGCACCTTGGAGTAATCATGGATATGAGCAAAATCATCCTGTCAGAATTTGGGACTAAATCAATTTTTGTCGTGAATTTATACAAATGTTTTATTTATTTTATAAATGATTTAAGTCCAGATATTCATGCAATATTCGTACACGAATTTTAAATCATGGTTGGTTTAATCATTTATGGTTTATAGATCCTATGCATGATTTATATTGCATGTTCAATAATTCCGAAATTGGCAATATATCAATTTTAAAGTTGGCCATTTATTTTCCGGCTATTTTCAATCCATATGATGTATCCATTCAAGATTTATGTTTGGGCCAAAAGTTTCTGTACAAAGAGGAAATTAAGTTTCCATAATTCTGTTATTAGAACAAGTTTTTATGAGTTCATTAGTTAATAATCATGGGTTGCATAATTCTCTGGATTGAAGAATTGTAATAATTTATTTCAAGGAAATCATTTGATAGGAAAGAAAGTTTCTGCCGACACAAGGGAATAAGAAAATTTGAACCCATCTAAAGTTATCATCTAAGGCAGAGTATGGATCTGCAAAAATTGCGTGGAATTATACTTATAATACATCATTTTCTAAGTTTTGCACTTCATATGAAAGATTGTCGGTTAGAAATGATGAAGGAAATCATAAGAATCTGATTATGCATAATGGTTCCATGTATGGGAAAGGTAGAAACCAAAATAACAGATTTTATTTTAATTTGGTTTGGTTCTTTGGTACATTTTAATGACATTATACATGCGAAATTGTTGGAAGAATGCCAACTATATGTTGAAAGTCTATGAATCTCCATTTCTTTGTTGAGATATGAGAATAACATGATATTGCTCATATGGGAAAATTCTAAAGAGTTAGAATTTTGTGAAAGAAATTATGTGAATTTTCATGACCACTTCTTCTACTAGAAAATGAAAATTACATATGGATTACTTCATCTTGATGTATGTTATTGCATGTAAAATTAAAATAAATTGTTTATTCTCACTTTGTTGTGATAATTGGAATGGTTTATATGCATGAATATTAAAGAATGCAATTCAAACCAATTGTGGTGGCTGAAGATCTATTTGACCATGGTTGATTATTCGGTAATTAATTTCAATTTATGGGCTGTCACATCTGCTTGGATGATACACAAACCCACTTGAGTAACCCACATGCTTCTATAGGGCATCATTTATTGAACGGTGCATTTGCCATTATGTTGGCTTATGGACTCCAAAGTGCAAGTAAAGCATATCTATATTTGTGTTTTGAGACCAGCGTATTAATATTTAATGGGTCTAAAGGATGTGAATAAATGTGGAAGGATGCCTACTATTTGTTGAAAGTACATGAAATTTCATAGTCTTCTATTGGAATATGAGAATTACATGATAAATTAGATGGTTGATTTCATGTCCTATTGGAATCTTGATAGCCACAATTAAGTGAGATAATCTTATGCAAAAATGTGTTTGCATAGAAATGTGATTTTGATCAACTATGAATAAGATGAACATGTACCTTATTATTTGATGTATTATGATGCTATCTTGTGAAAGTGATAAATTACATATGATTGGAGAAAGTGCAATTCTTGTATAATCAAGAAGTATAGTCCTATTCGTTATTGAATTGGACTTCAATCATGAAACCAAATTGAGTTGGTTTATGCTTGAAAAACATTAATGGTCTATGAGATAACCTTGATCAAAGTGAATTGAACTACAAAAGGGTTTGTGAACTCTAAGTTCAATTACAATTCGAAATGTGGGGGTTGACATATTGATGAATTCTAAGTTCAAGTATATTCCCAAATGTGGGGGTTATTCATAACGCTTGTGAACTTATACAAGAAGTTCAAGACTTATGGATGCAATATTACAAGATCGCATATAAATTCCTACGTGAGGAATTGTGGGGGTAACTTGATTTAATAATTACAGTTGCTTATATCTTTTAATCGTATTCAGATATCTACGAAGGGAGAAAAGGTAGAAAAGTCCTTATGATTATAATTATAAGGATAAAATACACTAAGTCTAAGTGGATGAATTGGGTGAAAGCCGATCATGGCACTTGCAAAACCAATTGGAATATTTAAATAATATTCACAAATTGAATACCCATTTGTTAAATCCACAAAATTTAAAGTGAGTGACAAGTGTATTGGTTGATAAAATTCTTCCAACTGTATTTGGAAATTTATAAGCTTTGAATAAAGTTAAGTGAAAGAATTCTTGGTGGTGACAAGTTGTATCTATCAAATGAATCGATCGTTGCCTAGCCATATTTTAATAAGATACTAAGTCACATGAAATGAAAAGTAAAGACTAAGTATTAGAGGTGACATCACAAGGAAATTATCAAAGGGAATAATTTTCGAAGAGAATTTAGCGAATCCTTTAACTAGACCATTAAATAAAATTTTAATGGCATCTACTTTGAATAGGATGAGGTTGAAACTCTTAGACTATAAAGGTCCACCAATGACGGCAACCCTACCTGTCATTACTCAAAAGGTAATCCACGGGTTCAAAGGATAAAAACAAGTCATTCGATATGTGGGATGGTTTCAGCATTATATAAATTCGAGATAACTCTATCCTAATTAAAATAATGATGGTTGTTACTAAAATGAGGGTTGAGCTTTAAGCTCTTAATGAAGTTCAGTGCTAAAACACAAGTATCTCTAAAAGTAACAAAGGTACTGGAAGAATTTCACCTAAACAAACTTCGGGGTGGTGCCGCCTCAGTAGAGAATTGGAGTTTCTCTCTTAAAAGTTTGTTGAAAAAGATAAGCGCAAGACCATATTAGCGTTAACTGAGATTGAGGAACTTGAGAACACGTAATGCTCGTGTGTGTGCCCTTATTGGTATTGTCACACGGAATAACTTGTTCAAAGCTTCACGCTACCTTTGATTTCAACTTTACTTTGTTTGGATTACACTATGGTTAGATTCAAATCGAAAGATATCTAATCCTTACGCATGAGTATTGTATACTTTGAATATGAGAGTTTATTGAATTTTGAACATGTGGGGGATTGATGGAAAGTATTGTTCAAATAATCAATAAGCAAATGGAGTATGGAATGAAAAATGAAGATGGTGGCTGCAACATAAGCCTATGCGACCACATAGGCTATTTGGCCATGCGGCATAGTCCAAAACTGGGAGGCTAGTTTTGGTAAAAACCATGCGACCACATGGGATCACTCCATGCGGTCGCATGGTTGTATTTTTGTGACCGTTGGAGGTCAGTTTTGTTTTAATTCTGGCAGTTTTTTGGAGGAAATATTGCAACTTTTCATTATGATTTGGCACCATTTCATGACGTATTGATTCAAACCTATAAATAGGTGATGAGATGATCAATACACAATATAGAAATCATATTACAAACATATGATGAACATTCTTTCATTCCACAAGAAGAAGCCAAAGTCTTCTTCATTCATATTCAAATTCCCTTCAGTGTTCTTCAAGTTTTGGAGAGTCACACAAGTGCTTAAGTGTTTGATTCTCTACAAGGCTTGATTAATCCTACAAACCACTTGCCGCGAGACCCTTTAAGCACTAAAATTATATACGAAAGGGGGCAAATATCGTTTGAAAATAGCGATATAATGTCGTGTTTGAACCTTCATATTTATTTAGATTTTTTCCATTATTTTCATCTTCTTGAATTTTCATTTCTCGATTTCTTCTCCAAACTTCGGTGTGATAATTTTCCAACAATCAATACCCTAAATCCATCTATTGAAATAGACTATTATCCCCATCGAGTTTTTGGCACAAAATTAAATTGAAGACTCCCACTATTAACTCCTCCAACTAAGCAACATTCATCATACATTGTTGTAGAAATGATGTTAACCTAAAGTGTAGAAGAACATCGAAGAGATAAAGACAAAGGGAAAGAGACGAAATAAGTTGGAGAAAGTTCACCCAAAAAAAAAAAGAAGAAGAAGAAATCAATTTTTTGGGTACAGATCTGCATCGCAGTGGTGGTGTTGAGGTGATAGTAGCATTTTTTTGGTATAGATATGCGTGGTAGTAAGGTGGCAATGATATTTTTTGTGACGTCAGTGGTGGTGGGATGAAGAGCGATTGTGACCAATTATTGGGTAATTGTGATCAATTATTGGAAATTGTGATTAATAAAATAGTAATTTGTAATCAAATAATATGTGACCTAAAAATATGCAACCTGTGATTAATTTTGTAATTGTAACTTACAATTTATGTCTTTGTGATAGATAAATAAATTTTAACCAATAAATTTATAATCTATTATCGATAAATGAATTGTGATTAATTAATTTGATAATTTGTTATCAATAAATAATTTATGACTTATAAAAACATGTAATTTACAAATAAATTTTTAATTATGACTTATAATTGTGTCGTTGTGATTATGACCTTCTGTGGCATGTGAATGACGTGATCGTGAACAAATTATGTGGTATTGTTGCTGTGACTTGTTTAAGTAAATTATATGTCACAAATATGATAACCAAATTTTGAAAAAAAAAATAATAATAAATAAATAAATCATGATTTTAGAATGCGTTAGAGAGAGAGAGAGAGAGAGAATGTAGGGTGCAAAAGACTACACAAAGGATTCATTTGTTACATATTTTCTTCAAAATCATTTTTAACTACACATTCTATAGACTGCTAACTTTTCCTCACTTTACAACCACACGTTCTCCCAAAAAAAAAATTTATTTTTCCATTGAAAAAATTTGTACAAGCTATAAATCTAATCTTATTCACGTGTGTAAAAGGTATCTGAACCTGAACTTATAGGGCTGTATCTGAAGAGACTTGGACAGAAGTTTATCTTTCCCTTTCTCTAGGCATTTTATTACTTCTTTTCCAAGTTCACTTGGTAGTTGAAGGCATATCCAGTCAAGCAATGACTCGATATCTTTTGCAAAGTCTAGTAGATACCGATCCAATAGTTTTGGTATTCCTATCACTTCCCTAATTGATGAAATTCCAACTGCTGCCAGTAAGTACTCTCTTTTAGCCATTTCAAGCTCCTGTTCGACTTGAGATGCTGTGTACACGCGCACCTTCAATCATAAAATAATTCTATCGGTAAAATTTAATTTGAGTCAGACTATCATAACTTAACGATAAGCAGTAGTCACGTCAAATTTTGCTCCTTTATCTCAAAAATGAGTGTTATTAATATGCTGATTCAATGCATCTATCTACTCTTTACATTGACTTACAGCAGGGGAGGACCAGCTTCCACAAGACAGTGCAAATGTTACCAATGGTTCAGACAATTCCAATTCAAAGATGCCGTGTGCCATCGTCTCATCTTTTTTCGCACCCTTTGCCAAGGTCTGATAACAGAAGATTGATAATAGGATTAGCTGTAAGCAACTTCATACCTGGTCCACAAACAAAAATGAACCGTAAATTTGCAAGAAAAATGCTATAAGTTGAGCCCTCTCACATATTTTGAGTGATAAGGTAGTCTCAGTATAAAATGTTCAACAGTTAAAGCATTTAGAATGTGTCCGCCAACATTGACTGTGGCCTGAGAAACAAGAGGTTAAATTATCAGCATGAATCCCAAGTTAACTTATGAAATCTACCCTAATAAGGTCACCGCCTAGTTCCTCTTTAGTAACGAAGATGCTACCATAAGTACACATTTCGATTGGCATCAGAAAAATCTAGTTATGTGATTGCAACATCTGAAAAATTATAATTGTGGGGTAAAAATACTTATTGATTAATGAACAAAAGAAAAGCAATATTACCTTTTTCATTAGTGCAACCACCATCTCAGGACTCACTGGTATTCCATGTTCAAGAAATGCCTGAACCAAATGGATTGTTAATCGCTCTTAATCAGAAGCTTGACTTTCTAAAAACAAGTATATAGTGAGCACATGAAACAGATTGCTGAGGACATCCAGATTTCTTTCTATTTTTTTTAGTTGGACCTTATTTCATTTTGTGGACTTTCTTGTTTTGGATTCTTATTAGGCTTATATTGGCCCAAGCCCAATCTAGTTAGGGTTTAGGTTTTTAATATTTAAACTATTTTGCATTGTAATTTATTTTCAATTGATGATTGAATAAAGATATTTGGTGGCTTGTGGCGAAATTTCTGTCTTCCCCATTCTTCTTCTTCTTCTTCCCCCGTTTTCTTCTTCTATCATCGTTTCCCCTTATTTCTTCTTCATGTTCATTGATTTTCTCTTTCTCTATTGATTTTCCTATTGGTGTTGCATCACAGATGACAACAAAAGAATGTGGGAAAGCTATATATCAAATGTTACGCATCATATATGCACTAGTGGATCTCACTCATACATTCATCATGCAAGAATTGTAGATGTTTATCCAGAAAGCAAGCTTCTCATGATGGGTGAGGCCGTTCAAGTCAGCTGATGCAAGTTTCTGAAGTAGAAGCCTAAGAAATTAAGAGACACGTCTTTAAGTGAAAGCATTTTTACGAGGCAGAAGCAATACTGAAGATAATCTTAAAAGCAACTTACCTTCGTCTTTGAACTAAGAATACAGATATTGTTGTTTTCTTTGGATTGATAGATGCGGCTTCAATGGTAAATAAATTCTTATATGGACCAATATCTCTCTTCCCAAACTTTGAACATATATCATAAGGATCATTGAACTCTGTACTTTTGATGATGTCGCAAGAACTCAAAGCTGACCGTGAAGGAATTGTTTCTCCCCTACTCTTACTTTTCTTTGAGCTCATTCTCAAGAAAATGTTCATCAGGCATTTCAGAATGCTCTCAGAAATTTTGTTTGGAGTGTCATCTGCTGGTGATTTTTCCTCTGGACTGACAACAGGATTCCTTTCTTTGGCACTCTCATGATTCAAAACTCCGCATTCTAACTGGAAAACCGAAAAAATAAATAAATAAATAAATCAAGATTAATTTTTTTATATAAGTATTTCATGATGCTTTGACGGAAATGATTAAAATGTCTACCTGTGATCTCTTAGAATCTAAATTCTTCTCTGCAGATCTGTACTCAACAGGAGGTTTTTTTTCAGGAGTTCTGACAGTCTGCAATTTCAAATTTGGAGATCCCTGCTTGTTCTTCAAGGAATTGAAGCTCGAGATGTTTTCTTTTCCTCGCTTATCATCTAAAAGTATACAAAAGTGGGATAAATATTTACCTTTTGTAAATTCTTGTTAAGAATATGCAGATTTTTTGAAGACAGTTTAGAAGCATTTACCAAGTGAAACTGCTAAGTGTCTCCCACCGGGCACAGAATATGCCTCGTTTGGGAGAGACAACCTGGATTGCTTCGATATTGGATCTTTAATCTGACACAGGTCATATGAATTAGCCGAATTATCCACGTTCCTCTGGGAGGATGAAATGCAGACAGCTTCTTGATACAGACCTTGCCTAAAATTCACAACTTGCTCTTCAAGCCAAAAAACTTCTTCTTCCAAAACAGCTACTTCGGCCAGAAGCTCAGCTGTCTGTAAATTCCAATCAAATTACAATTCCACTCATTACCAGTATCATCAAGAATGAATCCTTGGCAGTAATATCCCATGAAACTACTAGTATTAAAATCAATTTAATTCAACCTTGCACTTAATTCTTCAACTCTCAACAGTCTGTGGTACTAATTGATTCTACTGCAACATTTTTTGAGGTAATCCGATGAAATAACTTGGTCGAATTTTCATAAAACTAGAGTAATCTGTAAACACTATAAACATAAATTAAAGAGGTAATGACTAACATCCGGTGGAAGATAAGGAGGGAGACGAGGAAGAGCTCCCAACGGTCTTTTAATTGCCCTCTCCAAAGCTCGATGAACATTTTCCTCGTGTTGGAGTCTCTTCTTTAACTTATCAATCTAAAACATCAAAAGTATGAACACAATTACATAGATAAATAGACCTACAGAAAATTGCTTTAGTAAGGTACAAGCCTACATCTTGTTGCAACACCATTTTCCGCTCTCGAATTGAGCCTCTGCGACTTGTGGCTGGTCTCTTAGAGTCCATTCTCCTACTGCTCTGCATTCCCCCCCCCAACAAAATTCTTCTTATGATTCGAAAACCCATGTGGGATTGTCTTACTATAACGAATTTTCTGAACAAGTTCATCTTCTTAAGCTTGCTTATACAAGTTGGGGCCATAGTTTCGGGTAAAACTTAAATTACTCCCAGACTAATAACTTCAAAAAAGAAAGAATCGTTTGTTAAGCAATTTAATAATTAATTCCAAAACTGAAAAAAGTAGTCTCTGTTGGATTACTTTTTCAGGGTGAGGTTTCGAAGACTGCAAACTGGCACGGGCTCCGGTATTCATCTTTTTTCATTCCCCAGGGTCCAGAACAACATTCAGTCATCCCTGCCACTATAACATTCCATTTATTAATATCAGTAATAAAATTACTGAAAATGGGGCATTAAAAAAGAGAGAGAGAAGAAGAGACTTTCAGAAGAATGTATTCATTGTTAAAGAAGAGCAGACGAGTTTGAAGGTTGCCCAGAACGACAAAGTTAACAAACAATAACTATTTATTGTTGGAATTTAGTGCAGTGGACGAAATCCGATTCACTCATCCCGTATTTGCAATTTAAATGTTGGAATTATGCATATGATATTTACAGCTTATCGTATATCGTATATGTAGCATATCATATTTATAACTTATCATCTATACAGAGCATATTGTATATTGTATATATGTAACAATTTATCGTATATGCAATAAGTTATCGTATTTGCATATACCGTATATACAGTGAACAAGACAACATTTGACAGATTTAATTTTCAATAAAATAAACAAATTAATTTGATCAATTACTCTAGTTGGCCAAGTAACGCAGATTAATTTTTTTTTAAACATAAATAGACCGACAAAATAATAAAACTGCAAATTATATAAAGCACTCGAATAAATTACAGAAATTTATAAGATCGCAGGAATTAAATAAATAACGGATGAACTTTCAACTCGAGACCTATGCGAGCACAATTTTCTTAAAACAGATTCGTTCCCTTCTCATAAGTGCTTGAAATTTAATTTAAGCGTTTGTTTCTCAAGATACAATGGTAAACCAGTAGAACTGAGCACTGCAGAAACTATTCCGACGAATTGACTTAGTATTCGAACAATATCACCACCAAGACGAATGAGACAAAACAATAATATACAGTATATTTTCGTGTGTGCAGACTGTAATTTTCTTGTATTTTTCTGGTGTGTGTGAATTGCAGGAAAATGAGTCTTAATATAAGATAAATATGTCATTAACTCTGTGACAATAAACATTTAGTCAATTCAGTTTCTACTGAAGTTTTAGCAGTTTCAAAAATTCAAAAGTCAGTTGGAGAAAGAAAAAAATTGCAAAATATGGACACTCCAAACGGATACACAGGTCGCACCCGCACACAAGTTTAAGGTCCGAAAGCTATCTCGATTCGTGATTTGCACTCCCTGCACACGCGTATGTGGAGAGAGCCTCTATACTATACAGAATTACACTCTTCCAAAGTGTAGCCATATATAAAGTGGTTCATGCTTTCTTTTTTCCTATATGAGACAAATCATATTTTTCCACATAAATCATCTTTCAATAGTCAACTTTGAGCTCTAATTTCTAATTCACCCGAGCTTCATTTTTGCCAAGTAAATATATAATTTTGATGCTCTCATAGATAAGAACGCGGATCTACTTTGATCTTCCAACTTGAACCAGCTGATCTTACCAAAAATTGTGTTGAAAGTTGGTGATTTACTCATTTTTTCCAACATTTCCTTGTTCACCATTCTACTTGATCTCGTGAAGCTATACCTACCTATACACCATCATTATTTCTTTTTTTTCTTTTTTTCTTGAAGCAAGGCAGAATTTGGAAAAGTACGTGCGAATTAGCAGCCCATCTTTCACGTCATCGTGAACTAGCATGCACTTGTGTTTTGACAAGGACTCTGCTTCATTTTGGTAAAATTAAAATAAAATAAAATAATAATAATAATAATAACCTTGAATTTATATGTTGCAATTACTGAAACTGAAGTTTTTTTTACTGTTTGGCATGCGTTTTTAGCACCAATGATACTACAAAGCATTATTCTTGTGTAAATTGAAAAGCTGCGTACATCACATGAGATGGGTGGCGAGTGCCAACTAAAGTTCTTTGCAATTGAAAAGGAAATCAAAGGCAGGCCAGCACATGCGGGTTCATTAATGCTTCCATTATCAACTTTTCTTTTTTATATATGTACATTATGATTAATAATATCTTATTTGTTTGGCACCTATTTTCCTGAAAAAATGAATTTTAGAATAGTAGATTGATGAAAAATGTGTGAATGAAAAATAAAGAAATTTTTTTCATTTACGTGTAATATTACTTTAATGAAAAATGTATAGTTGAAAAGAAAAAGGAGAGCAATGCATTTTAAAAAAAATAGGAATCAAACGAGGCCAAGCCAATGTACATTTTCAATTCACATGGTAATCCGGCACAAGTAGAGAATTTCATCAAAACTTGAAGATAAAAAGGCTTTCTATTCTTACTTTTGTTAAGTTGTAGAACTAATTATTGTTACTTAGCGGAGCTAGTCATGGATTGACCATCGTGACGAGGAAGTCGCGAGTGTTGGAAGGGGGGGCAGGTGGCCTCTCTCCCGAGGCTTGTAAGAAAATTTTAGTTAAAGATAGTTTAGAAATTTGTATTTTATTATAAAATTCTATGAAGGAATATGAATCCTTGTATAATTCGATTTTGTCCTAATTTACTTATAAATAAGGAGCAATCCTTAGGTTTTATGTACTATTATCAAATAGAGGGAGAGAGAAGTTAAAGAAGCTATGATTGATATTTTCTCTTGTAAACATTTTTCATTATAATGAATTATCGCAGTGACGAGAGAGACGTAATTTCACATTGAGACAAACATTTATAAATCTTGCATGTTCTTGATTGTTTATTCTCTATCTTTAAATTGATTGCTCTTGAGATAGAATTATGGTTTATAATTTTCAAAAAATTTAATATTTGCCACTTTATATCACAATGTAAATCTCAGTTCACCTATCTACGTGACATGATATGTTTCGATGAAGATGATGATTAAAGAGACGAAAAATATTATGAGATCTTAAAAAGAAACTATTAATTTAACAAACCAAGATGAAAAATTTTGGTTGTGCACATTAATTTTTTAGGCTATTTCATTAAAATAAATTTGAGTTAGAAACTTTTTAGTATTGCAACTGTCATTATGTGTCTTATAATTATAAATTAAATAAACACGTCACCGTCTCCGTGCACGGAAAGGCAACCATTAATTAATTTTAGGTACATAAGCTAAACAAGACTATAGTAATAATTGATTATTTAATTAATTTCTCAGTGACTTTAACCTTTAATTATTGTGCCATAGAACCACTCCCTATTTGGACCACACACGAACGGATTAGTGTTCATGCCACCTATTAGTTAATTTAGACTTTTAAAACTTAATTTCCACGTTGACTGATAAGTTAAATAGTTTCTGACTTGCTTTTACATAGTAATTTTATCAAGTGTATGTTTGGTTTTGATTTTTCACCCCAAAAATAATATTTTGATTGTTACTTTCGTAAGTCAGTCATCATTTTTTATTTTTCTTTTACAGGTAAGATCCAATTTTTTCTTCAACGATCAAAAATTCAATTTTCATAATTACTATCGAACATACCCTAAACTTAGAAAAACAAGCACTAAGCAGTTTTCACATAAATTTAAGTGTAAAATGCCATATATGCGTGTCCAAAATTAAGCAATAAACAGCATCTTTGATCTCTCTTGGCTGACTATGTTGAGGAATCATAGAATTTTTATTGATATCATGATTGAAAATTTAAATGTTGTTCATTATTTGTTATTGTTATAAATATTATCTTTTTAATTATCAAGTTTGACCAAAATGGCAACGAATTAAAATTTAAAAGCCTGTTGGGATGGTGAGGGATAGTTTTTTTCCCCCCATCCTTCCTCTTACTTGGTAACATGAAATATCAATCCCATCAAACTTAATTAAAATTACAATTTTTTTACCACACTACTGTTCATTTGACCATGGGCCCGTTTGGTAGGGATTTTGAGAATTGATTTTTTGACCGTTAGAAGAAAAGTGGGGTCCACATGTGAGAGAAGAAGTCAAAAATTACGACTTGAATAGTAAAATAACGGTCAAAAAATCAATTTTTTAGGGCAAAAAATCTCTACCAAACGGGGCCCATATTTTGAAAAATTAAAAAACTAATTTTAAAAATTAAAAAAAAAAATAAATAAACTTTTACATTTGTTTGAATAAAATTTCTTTCTTGCTAGGTGATTAGGCGCCAAATCTAGAAATTTTCAATTCTTAATTGAGAAGTAATAAAGAAGAAAATTACTTAAGTAACACCTAAAAGTGAATAATAGTTTACAATGTTTTTACCCTATTTTCTATAGATTTTTGTGATGTGATTTCACTAGAAATTCAAAGGAATTAACCACACTACATTTTGATAACCGAAAATGGTATAATTGAGGAAGACTTAAAACGTATTGACTTTTGACACATTGCAGCAAATATTTTCAAGGATTTTGCTCCTTATGCAGGGCAAATTACCAATGGACAGTTTGGCAGTTTTTTTCTTTTGTTTGTTCAACTACCAATGAGAATCATTCAAATATGTATCTATAAAATCCCTATACACCAAACAGGGTTCTTTTTTTAAAGAATACATTTCACCCAAAGGCTAAAGCTTCCCAATAAAGAAGAGAAGACATGAGAAAGACCCAGCATTTGTTTCATTTCATTGCTTTGAATTGGAGCCCATAGACTTATGGTACAAGAATGGACATCATGTCACAAAACAAATGAGAATCCATTTGACAAAACTTCTGAAAAATTAAAAGTAGTTTCAATGGAGAATTTATATTTTTTTCTCGAATTTTTCATTGAAGTTTTTTTCGAACATGTTCGGGTAATTTTCTGGAAATACTTTGCCTTCTAATTATAAGAGTTTTCAGATGAAATTGATTCAAGATATAACTTTTTAGGAAGCAATTTTACAAAAGCAGAAATTCTACCAAACGGATCCTAAAAATATTAAATTAAATCCACAAATGGCTACCCAACTTTATATATCTAATTTCATATAACGTTTCACCATAACCATTTCAATTTTATATAACGTTTTATCATAATCACCAAATTTCTTTTCACCATTTTCATTAATTTTAAAAGGAGTAAAACGGTAATTTTGCATTATAACAAAGTAAAATAAATAAAAACTTAATTTAAAAATTACTTAAAAATGAAATAAAAACTTATTTTAAAAATATAAAATAAATTATAATTTTATTTTAAAAAACTTTTTTAAAATTAAAAAAAAAACCCATATTAAAAAATTAAAATAAAATAAAACTTATTTAAAAAATTACTTTAAAAAATATAATAAAACAAAAAGTTATTTTAAAAAATGTTCCTTAAAAAATAAAATAAAAACTTATTTTAAAAAAGCTTTACTTAGAAAAATAAAATAAAATAAATTATAAAAATGTTTTTAAAATAAAAAAAAATTTCTATTTT